GAAGTACGAGAATTCGTCATCAATGGCCATTTCCCTCGAATTTGAGCCCAAAATTAGTTTTCAGCAAGGCTCCCACCTTGGTAGCGTTCTTGGTCTGGTTTGTTAGTCGATGCTGGCCGAGTGAACTGGTTCTGTCCGAAGTCACCGCAGACGACAAACGACGTTGGTCTTTTCTAGAAGACCTCGACGTGTTACTCCGGTCTAAACCTTATTTCCGTCAGCCTGTCTATCGCCTGCTTACAGCTGTTCTTATCAATCGGTCGGCGTCGCATTTGCAAATTCTGAGCAACATTTTTGCTGTACGGAACTCCCAACAAACACAAAAGCTTCGAGGAAAATGTCGTTATCTGCATTTCATAATTCTGAATTACTTAGAAGACATAATTCGTGCGAGAAACGATGTCACTTTTACGTAAAATACGTAAAGGGAGAGTTTACAGCGGTTCCATCAACTACGCCTCGTATCAGAGTTCGAACCAAAGACTTTGAGAGACTTCAACGGTGTTTATAAAGTACATGCTAAAGGACACAACGCGTGTTGTTTACAATTACTGGGGGGGTCCTCGCACCTGACGAGATGCGATACCGGGACCTCGGAACGAATCAATACAGAGTTTGAACGCCGACAGATGCTCGACCTTCCGAAAAGCCGCTAATTAATCAGTCGCTTGTCGTGTGCCGCGAAAACACGACGCAAACAGGCAGGACGGAAAATTCACTCCGCAGATTATCAAATTCGCGGGTTAGGACAAGTTTCTCTGGAGGATACAAGAAATACGCACAAAATTTCGGCCAGGAAGATGAATCTGCGTCGAAAGCAAACACTCGCTAGTAACGTTCTGTCACGTGGTACCTGAATGACAGAACGATGCAAGTTTGAGGTTCTCAAGGCGGCAGATATGAAGACGACTGGGATCGACGTTACGGAGGAGCTTGCTGCCTCCATCATCAGGACGGCGACAAGGCTGCAAGGCGAAGAACCAGACTTCACGACGCAACAAACTGACGAATGGCATGATTCAGTTGTTTCCCGATAGAGAATCCGGACGTCTCTGAAAATTGGCCACCGCCCACTCGGTGAACGTCACGCTGACGTACGAGCGCGCTCCTAAAAGCAAAGTCCCCTGACATTTTTCCAAACAAAGGACAAACCCACGTGTTCTGCTGAGCTCACGTACGATGCGTCCCGATGCCGTCCGTCCGCTATTTATACATCAAAGGCCGCGCTGCCGGCGGTAAACTGCAAACCAGGGGTGTGACGTCATAGGTACGCTCGCCGCCCATGAGGAGAATCATGGACCGGGGAGGGCCGCTGACAAGTGAGGAGCGAGGAGCCCCAAATACGCGCTGTTCAGAGGGTGCTTAAAAAAGCTCATCAGGACAATTTCAAATTTAAATGCGTTAAGTTCATCAGGGCACAGCGAAGACACGGGTCCCGATCAACCTCCAGCCACCCGCGGCATCGCCTACTGAAGTCTCCGGCTCGAGGCCCTGAAATTACGAAAACACATTTCTCCTGGACGTTTCTCAGGCGCTTGCCGCCGACTATCTGTATGAAGTGGCTTCGCAACGTCCGCTAGTAATGAACCAGGATATATTTCGCTTGCAGTGACGCGCAGTGGCGTGATGGCTGTTTACATAAATGGAAGACGAAGGGCGAACTGAAGGTGTGACTGCAGAACTCAGCTCCCGGAAGAACGACACAAACACAGGCGTTCTTTGTGGTAGAAGTGCCTTCGGTGACGATGAGCCGCGTCCACAAGCAGGCTGGCTGGAACTCAAGTCCCCCCAGCATCGTGTTTCTCTCACAAAGTTCGGTCGCCCCTTGCAGCGATGTCGGGGCGAAGCCCCACACTGAAGGCGGCGCACGGCAGACAGTGGGGCACGACACGCCCATTAATGAAGACACGCTTTGTGTAACTCCGGCCTGCGACCCCATCTTACGGAGATGGCGTTGCCATGGCAACTCTCACAGCCATGACAAGTGAACATCGCGAACAAATGAACGGACGACGGGCTGACCGAAAGGTCGAGCACCCGACAAACGGGGCGCAGCGCGATCTACGTGAGGTGGAATGACATTCGTCGCCGACGAAACTGTTACCGGCATCCAACACCCCCGAGGTCCCAGCCTGATACAGCATCATTAAATGGACTAGGAACTTGCTCTTACGGTGACAAGGCGGGGGCGGACAACTGACGGAAAGCGTGTTTCTAATTGCTCTCATCAAAAAGATGGAAAACAAAAGCCTCACTGTCTGTCAGAGTCGTCCTTCACCGAGAAGCTGATAGTTGTTCGGCTAGTCAAGCGAAGATGGTTCGTCGTCCCTGCTACCTGGTCGTCTCTTGCCCTCGATGTAGATGAAAACTAGGTCACACACGTCTTCCTGAGGTCCCTCTAAAATCTTCGGCCTGTAGACACCACTAGTTTCGCGGTACGCCAGACACGTACAATGGCGAATCATGGTGGCGGATTATAAAGCTCTGACAAAATGGCGGGCTTGCGGTTATATGAATTTACTGCGACGCCCCCTTCAAGAGGAGACGGCGGCCGAATACCAAGTAAGGACCGCAAGCTCGCTTAAGACTCAGGAACAGCGCGGCTGCGAGCATTAAAAGGGGTGCCCGCCCCACACCACAGTCTGTTCGCTACCTGCGGCAGAACGCTCATTTCCGACGTCCAAGAAACAATACGAATCAGCATCGTCCGTGGTTAAGGGTTCTTCGCCCTTTCAGAAGTCCCGCCCGAATTTCGTGAAAATTGAACTTCAAAATACCTTTTGTTCCAGGCAATCATAAAAACGCGAACCAGTCTTCTGCTCAAGATACAAGATAAGGGACGTCATCAATCACGTTATGGCCAGAAAACAAGAAGCCGACATAGAATATCTGAGCTGTCGACATGAGATTAATGTCCGTCGTCCACTCGCGGCTACTGGACGCACCAAAAGGAGTGCGTGGATTGGGCGTGGGGGTTAGTGGACGAAAGGGTTCGACCTTATTCGTAGCCTAAAACGAAAAGCCCACCAACGACGTCAAATTCACAGAAAATACTGCACATAAAGAACGTGTTAGCTGATGTCAAGGAAAAGGTTTCATCCGGCCCCTGTTGTTATGTTACAAGCCCAACAGCCTCTCCGCGCGTGGCGACCACCACCGTCACCTGACTTCATGCGTTCTTACCTTGACACGCCGGCGTACTCTCGTCACTGCCGTCTCCACAGTCGTCCTCGCCCTCGCACATCCACGTCAGAGGAATGCAGCGGCCATTGCTGCACTGGAACTGACGCTGGGAGCACGCGTCTGAAACATGGCGGCACGCGCACGGCTGGTATCAGGTAACCCAGATTTCGAAATTCAAACAAATGGCCCCCAGACACGACAAAATCTGGCTATCTGTATGAAGTGGCTTCGCAACGTCCGCTAGTAATGAACCAGGATATATTTCGCTTGCAGTGACGCGCAGTGGCGTGATGGCTGTTTACATAAATGGAAGACGAAGGGCGAACTGAAGGTGTGACTGCAGAACTCAGCTCCCGGAAGAACGACACAAACACAGGCGTTCTTTGTGGTAGAAGTGCCTTCGGTGACGATGAGCCGCGTCCACAAGCAGGCTGGCTGGAACTCAAGTCCCCCCAGCATCGTGTTTCTCTCACAAAGTTCGGTCGCCCCTTGCAGCGATGTCGGGGCGAAGCCCCACACTGAAGGCGGCGCACGGCAGACAGTGGGGCACGACACGCCCATTAATGAAGACACGCTTTGTGTAACTCCGGCCTGCGACCCCATCTTACGGAGATGGCGTTGCCATGGCAACTCTCACAGCCATGACAAGTGAACATCGCGAACAAATGAACGGACGACGGGCTGACCGAAAGGTCGAGCACCCGACAAACGGGGCGCAGCGCGATCTACGTGAGGTGGAATGACATTCGTCGCCGACGAAACTGTTACCGGCATCCAACACCCCCGAGGTCCCAGCCTGATACAGCATCATTAAATGGACTAGGAACTTGCTCTTACGGTGACAAGGCGGGGGCGGACAACTGACGGAAAGCGTGTTTCTAATTGCTCTCATCAAAAAGATGGAAAACAAAAGCCTCACTGTCTGTCAGAGTCGTCCTTCACCGAGAAGCTGATAGTTGTTCGGCTAGTCAAGCGAAGATGGTTCGTCGTCCCTGCTACCTGGTCGTCTCTTGCCCTCGATGTAGATGAAAACTAGGTCACACACGTCTTCCTGAGGTCCCTCTAAAATCTTCGGCCTGTAGACACCACTAGTTTCGCGGTACGCCAGACACGTACAATGGCGAATCATGGTGGCGGATTATAAAGCTCTGACAAAATGGCGGGCTTGCGGTTATATGAATTTACTGCGACGCCCCCTTCAAGAGGAGACGGCGGCCGAATACCAAGTAAGGACCGCAAGCTCGCTTAAGACTCAGGAACAGCGCGGCTGCGAGCATTAAAAGGGGTGCCCGCCCCACACCACAGTCTGTTCGCTACCTGCGGCAGAACGCTCATTTCCGACGTCCAAGAAACAATACGAATCAGCATCGTCCGTGGTTAAGGGTTCTTCGCCCTTTCAGAAGTCCCGCCCGAATTTCGTGAAAATTGAACTTCAAAATACCTTTTGTTCCAGGCAATCATAAAAACGCGAACCAGTCTTCTGCTCAAGATACAAGATAAGGGACGTCATCAATCACGTTATGGCCAGAAAACAAGAAGCCGACATAGAATATCTGAGCTGTCGACATGAGATTAATGTCCGTCGTCCACTCGCGGCTACTGGACGCACCAAAAGGAGTGCGTGGATTGGGCGTGGGGGTTAGTGGACGAAAGGGTTCGACCTTATTCGTAGCCTAAAACGAAAAGCCCACCAACGACGTCACATACACAGAAAATACTGCACATAAAGAACGTGTTAGCTGATGTCAAGGAAAAGGTTTCATCCGGCCCCCTGTTGTTATGTTACAAGCCCAACAGCCTCTCCACGCGTGGCGACCACCACCGTCACCTGACTTCATGCGTTCTTACCTTGACACGCCGGCGTACTCTCGTCACTGCCGTCTCCACAGTCGTCCTCGCCCTCGCACATCCACGTCAGAGGAATGCAGCGGCCATTGCTGCACTGGAACTGACGCTGGGAGCACGCGTCTGAAACATGGCGGCACGCGCACGGCTGGTATCAGGTAACCCAGATTTCGAAATTCAAACAAATGGCCCCCAGACACGACAAAATCTGGTACGATTCGTTGCATCTGAAGGCTGAAATGTGACCTTTCCGACTTATTTCAAACTCACGCCAAATCGACAAGCGTTTCAAGACGAAGTTATATAAGACACCGAAACCAATTTATTATACGCTCTGCAGACACGACGTCAATCAGCAATGGGGGGGAAAGGAAGAAAATGTACGAATGGGGTTTAAACTGTTTACACAGCTGAGAGACATCTGGAGGACAGTAAACTAGGCTTCTTAAAGCAGTTAATGTCCCTATGAACCTTCTTTACATTTGGGGGCGAGATTACGCTCCGAGCCAGTTAACGTCTGAACACCCTCCCCCTCCTCCGACTCCGTGGCTCTGTCGACAGCCAAACGCAACCTGATAACATATGCTGTCAGACGTTCTAACCAGTCACCGGCCACGTCTTCATTTCTCACTGGAATATAACATTACATTACGTTACGCGAACTCGTGACGTGAACGGAGCTAGGAATCGATTTCAAATTACTCGGACGCAAAGGAGAATCTCCGCTCTTGTGTAATCCGAGGCGGCAGGTGGAATAAGGAGCCACTTTTCATCTCTTCGACGCGAGATGTTAACAGCCTTGAAGGAAAACTCGCCAGGCAAAAAGCAGAAATTTTCGAACCTGTTCAATTATGTCACCCGCGAATGTCTCTCTCTGTAACCAAAGCAAAGGCCGTTCCTGCAGCTTGGGAGAGACGCGCGATTTGACACTCATATCGAGATTCTTCTGAAGCAGAACTGGCCGGGTTGTTTAACGACGCTGTATCATAGCGGGAATGAAGCAGGGGATGTCGCCGCCTTATTCATGTTTCAGAAAGACAGCACAGCCCAATATTTCCCACAAATTGGCCGTCCAGAGCCCTGAGCCAGCTGGAGCCAATCAATTTGCTATGCTTCCACGGCGTGGCGAAGCCCCACGGAGAACGTGACGTGATCTATTCACACTATTTCGCACGGGGACCGGAGCCTCCCAGGCGGGAGGAGCCCGGTTTGACCTCCAACTGTGGTCACTTCCTCTAGGCTGGCAGGTCGCGCGTCATTCGTGATCAGGGTCGCTTCATGCATTAACCGGTTTCCAAGGAAGGAAAATGGCGGTGGACCTTCGGATTCCACAAGGGACGCGGAATTTCACGGGAGTTCCCGACAGACGTACAGCCGGCGACACTGTCCTGCTCGTCTTTCGGGGCGTCGCAAATCCACTGCCAACAGTTCGGCGTCGCCCGCGCGAAGCAAATGAAACTCTCGAGCGTCAGTTTGTTTGTTTGTTTGTTTGTCAATATATTTTCGGTGCGCTGTGACACGCACCAGAGTATTCACAAAATTAACTGTGACGTCATCACAGGCGAACCTGGGTAAGGACACGCTGTCATCATCTTCAGACGGCGCACAAAGGGCGAGAGCAAACACGGCGGAAACAAGAAATGCCCGCATATTACTGGTCGGGAACACTTTCTGAGAGGACGAACAGTCCACTCGAGGGCATCTCTCGACCGACCGACCGACAGGCGACACGCAACCCGCGTCGCAACAGAACTAATTGAAACTGACCGCGAGCCGTCCTCCGACTCCCAAGGACGCGCGTTGACCCTCGTGACCTCTCCTATCTGCTTCACTAATTCCATCATTTAGATACCGCGGTCCATTGACACACATCTTAATTGTTTATTGACCTTCGGCTGGCGAGTCGAGAGAGTGGACGGCAACAGAACGGCCGGACCTCGTACGTCCGTCACGAACCCCGCGTTGTCAACCCTTCATGACCCGATGAAAATTGTGCGCCGACAGCAATCGGCGAGCGTTCTCACGTGAACGAGTAGTGTTTTCTTTGTGGTACGGACCGAACTTTCTTTCCAACTTCTGCTTCAAAGGGTTGTTGATACTGAGCCACGGTTAAACGTGTGTCAAGGACAGGCGGGGCTCACCCCACAGCCCCCAGGCCACACCCAGATGGGCAAGCAGGTAGGCAGGGTTACCATCCTAACAATACAACAAGAGACCAGTCATGCCAACTTCAATTTAAAGCAAAGCTCGAGGTAAGTGCGGTCCGCGATCTGAACGCCTCTCGGAGCGGCCACACGTCGTATCGCGACGCGACTGTCGTTGCCATGGCAACATCCCATTGCAGATGAACTGGAGCAAGTCCTTGTCTCGGGGCCGATAAGGAGGCCTGACCTCCGTTTCAATTTTGCACGCCAGAGTGCAGTGCGTGCAGCCGTCCTTACACGCATAAACACTAACTAATTGATTCTGTAATCAACGTCGCTAAAAAGAGCAACAACTCTGATATCTCGCAGCGGTTGCTACGTGACCCAGCAGCGAGCTGCATAATATGAGCGCATGATATGGAGGTCTACAACGACGCTGAAACCTGTACAGTTTTGTCAGTGTTCAGTGAAACAATTTGCTCCTCGAAACGTGGAGCCCGTGTGTGGACGCCACTGCCCTCCTCAAGCACAACCTGTCTGAACCGATTGTAACGAAATTTGGTGAGGGATCTGTAAGTTTCTCGCTTTCCCCGAACAGCAGCGAACTTCGAGAGACGTCGCAAAGAGGTCCTTCGCGTCTTTTCCCACTGACTTAATAGGGGAAATCAAATATAAAAGTTTCAATGAGCAGCATCCAATTCGCGAGACTCCTCGCTTTCTCACTGCGCCGTTCAGTCCCACTATTCAACTACGAGGACGACGATAAATTCAGTCCTGACGATGGAGGCAGCATGTTCTCACAAGATCGAACGATCGGAACTACCGTGTCTTCGCCCGGGCTCAGAGGGCTACTCAACCGTTCAAAAGGAGCGCCTACTCTCGCGTCGCTGTGCTAGCCTTCCTCCGTTCACGACCGGACAAAACAGCGGCTCGCATGCAGAAACGCTTTTAACTCATCGCCGATGAGAACTTTGCGATCTGGTCCGGTAAGGACGAGGCATCGTCGTCTATCGTTAGACGCCCTTAACGAAGAGAAGCTTAGAGAAGTCTAGAAATCATGACGCTCCTCACAATGCCCGTCACTGCGTCTCCCTCAAGCCCAAATATTATCCAGCGCGCCCTGCCCTCAAACACCTTCAACCTCCCCGACAGACAGACAGACAAACAAACAATCCTTAGATGTCTCGACGCAAATTAGTTTCACCCAAGCGGGCATTTGACGGCTCCTTCCCGCGGTAACCTAACCTAGAGCGCCTCACCAACTGCAATCTCAAAGAAATACGCACAGAATTTTGGTCAGGAAACGCTAACTTCGTTCAGCTTCAAGCAGCTTTTCAATGTTTTTGTAAAAACCGCGTAATGATAAAGTCATCTGTTTAGTGAGCTCAGTTAATATTTACGAATCAAAATAAATGGAGGGAGAGAGGCAACACTGCATGTGAAGATTCAAGGTACCGAGTGGTTAGCACTCCTTTAGTACCGAATTGAAATCGCGGCCATAATACCTACAATCCCAAATCATGTTCTCCGTGGTCTTCCTCAGTCATCACCACCCGAAAAAAATAAAAATTTAATGTAGCTCTAAACGAGAACAGCCATTTTGTTAGGCGTTTGTCGAAACTCAAATTTAAATAAATTCTGTAAATAAATATGGTTGTCTTCTGGGATGTTGCGCTGTGTAGATTCCGCGTCCCTGATGATGGAAGCAGCCAGCACCTCTGAAACGTTGGCAACATGTCAGAGGTCAGCCATCTTTATACTCGCCGCCCTGAGAACCTGAAAATCTCCCCTGTGAATGAAGTTGGCCCATTCGGACGTCAATCGACTGCCTCACGTTCGAAAGAAGCTCCAACAGCCGGCCTTCGCCCGTTCTCGGCCCTGTCCGATGTTCCTAGCTCTCAGTCAAAACTTGTTTTCCACAGGCCAGTGGCCCTCTCACCCAAAAAATAAACAAAAACCACACACAAAGATGGCGACAATCAACAGCTTTTTCTGGAATAAAATTATTATTATTATTCTATCTATTCACCGTTTTACAGAGTACTTAATTCTATGTACCTGAGACAAACCTTGCCTCCGAAATACATTTCTTTTAATACGTGTTACTTGCATTAGACACATTCATATATTTCACATGAGCGTCTTTCGAATGACGTACGATGTTCCTAGAATGGCGGTTCTCTGAAGTTCCCCGATATCGTGGCCACCCGAGATGTTGACCAAATACTTTTTTGAGTGACTTGGAAACATTTCCAGTTTCTCCTATAATTACTGGGATTACTTTCCACGTATGGTATTATTACGTAAATAATAGGACATAGACCGAAGAGGGCCCCATTAGCAGCCACTCGATCACGCTGTGCCAACTGCAGACTTTTTGGGTAACGCCAAATGACGTCGGGATGAAGGCAAACTAGAATATTATTCCAGTCAAAGAGTTTTGCAAAGAGAAGTCCGCGTTTGACAACAGTCTACACGTAGCCCTGAACGCGCTTGGTCACACGCCAGTCACTGCTTTACAGAACCCCAAGGCTCGTCCCTGTAAACTACGTCCATATAAACATCAAATCGGCCGTCACCTTAGGTTTCCGACAAGCTTACGGCCAAAATAATGTAAACACGCGGACACGAGGGAGGTGAGAAGCTGATTGTGCCAACCAGTCCAATGGGTAACCAACCTGAGAGACGCAGAAGACAGCGACACCCGTGTCTCCCGAACTGGCACTCGTCTGTTAAAATATTTTTAAGATGTTTGCTACGTCAACGTTGCCAGAAACTCTTGTGGGTTGACGTGGTCGGAAAACAAAACAAACACTGCTCTCGACAGACAGACAGACAATCCTTCGATGTCTCGACGCAAATTAGTTTCACCCAAGCGGGCATTTGACGGCTCCTTCCCGCGGTAACCTAACCTAGAGCGCCTCACCAACTGCAATCTCAAAGAAATACGCACAGAATTTTGGTCAGGAAACGCTAACTTCGTTCAGCTTCAAGCAGCTTTTCAATGTTTTTGTAAAAACCGCGTAATGATAAAGTCATCTGTTTAGTGAGCTCAGTTAATATTTACGAATCAAAATAAATGGAGGGAGAGAGGCAACACTGCATGTGAAGATTCAAGGTACCGAGTGGTTAGCACTCCTTTAGTACCGAATTGAAATCGCGGCCATAATACCTACAATCCCAAATCATGTTCTCCGTGGTCTTCCTCAGTCATCACCACCCGAAAAAAATAAAAATTTAATGTAGCTCTAAACGAGAACAGCCATTTTGTTAGGCGTTTGTCGAAACTCAAATTTAAATAAATTCTGTAAATAAATATGGTTGTCTTCTGGGATGTTGCGCTGTGTAGATTCCGCGTCCCTGATGATGGAAGCAGCCAGCACCTCTGAAACGTTGGCAACATGTCAGAGGTCAGCCATCTTTATACTCGCCGCCCTGAGAACCTGAAAATCTCCCCTGTGAATGAAGTTGGCCCATTCGGACGTCAATCGACTGCCTCACGTTCGAAAGAAGCTCCAACAGCCGGCCTTCGCCCGTTCTCGGCCCTGTCCGATGTTCCTAGCTCTCAGTCAAAACTTGTTTTCCACAGGCCAGTGGCCCTCTCACCCAAAAAATAAACAAAAACCACACACAAAGATGGCGACAATCAACAGCTTTTTCTGGAATAAAATTATTATTATTATTCTATCTATTCACCGTTTTACAGAGTACTTAATTCTATGTACCTGAGACAAACCTTGCCTCCGAAATACATTTCTTTTAATACGTGTTACTTGCATTAGACACATTCATATATTTCACATGAGCGTCTTTCGAATGACGTACGATGTTCCTAGAATGGCGGTTCTCTGAAGTTCCCCGATATCGTGGCCACCCGAGATGTTGACCAAATACTTTTTTGAGTGACTTGGAAACATTTCCAGTTTCTCTTATAATTACTGGGATTACTTTCCACGTATGGTATTATTACGTAAATAATAGGACATAGACCGAAGAGGGCCCCATTAGCAGCCACTCGATCACGCTGTGCCAACTGCAGACTTTTTGGGTAACGCCAAATGACGTCGGGATGAAGGCAAACTAGAATATTATTCCAGTCAAAGAGTTTTGCAAAGAGAAGTCCGCGTTTGACAACAGTCTACACGTAGCCCTGAACGCGCTTGGTCACACGCCAGTCACTGCTTTACAGAACCCCAAGGCTCGTCCCTGTAAACTACGTCCATATAAACATCAAATCGGCCGTCACCTTAGGTTTCCGACAAGCTTACGGCCAAAATAATGTAAACACGCGGACACGAGGGAGGTGAGAAGCTGATTGTGCCAACCAGTCCAATGGGTAACCAACCTGAGAGACGCAGAAGACAGCGACACCCGTGTCTCCCGAACTGGCACTCGTCTGTTAAAATATTTTTAAGATGTTTGCTACGTCAACGTTGCCAGAAACTCTTGTGGGTTGACGTGGTCGGAAAACAAAACAAACACTGCTCTCGGCTGACCACAGGAGACGTCCCGACACGGCAAACAACGTTTGTATACGACAAGTTGAATGGGGCACTCCGAAAGACCGAACACACATGAATACCGACGTTGCTCTTACGAGTTCCAACACCGCGTGGACAGATACCAACGTTTCGCAGTAAGATACTGCCCCCTTCTTCAGGATAAATTCCACACGGCGTTGTAACCCAGGTGATTAACATCGGCATGAGAAAATAACTTGTCAGTAGCCAACAGAATTATCGACGAACACTGTACATTTTAATAAATGCCATCGTCCCCAAAGACTCTCTAGCCACTGCAGATGAATGACTTACCGTTTGAATCGGCCGACCCGCTTACAGCACAGACAAACAGAACGACAGCTACACACACCACAGCCTGAGCAGCCATCTCGCACTGTGCTCCACAACCTCGCCCGATGCACTGACCAAGCCCCCGGCCGGCCGGCCGCCACGACATGCGCGCGCAGCGGGGGGCGCGTAGCCTATCCGGAACAGCCAGCGCCGGCTGTTCCAACCACGCCACCTAGTAGATACTACTTTAACGAAGCACCGACTTACCTTACGAGGGTCACAAACGTTGATTAAACCCCCGCCCTTGTCGCTGTCGAGACAAAAACAAAAGAGAGGAGTTTTCGAACAAGAAAACCAGCAGCGGAGTATGTGCGGTCATAATTTGCAATTAACCACAAGGACTTTGACTGACAGCGCCGTTTAAGGTAGGTTATGTGACGATGCCCTGTTCAACTACGTTTAAAAGTTAGCGGTAGAACGAAATTTTGCGGTGAAGGAGCGCCTGAGAAAAACCATGTCAGGATAAAGTTAATAACAGTGCGCTCTGGACGGGTGTATTTCTCAACTTGCTACGTTAAACTGATAAGAGCCACGAAGAGTCTGAGTCAGGCCTTTGCAAGCAAAGCCGGATGGAGGTCTTCCGAAACGTCGGTTAACTTCTACCAGACTATAAGGCGCAACATCGCTCATTTCGAGTAAATACTTCTGCTGTGATTGAAACTACCGCAGTCGGAATTTGTGAAACGAAAAATTGTGGTGACGCGTGACGTCATTAATTCCATTGTAGCGGAATCTGACCGCTCCCAGGGGCACACAAGTTCCAGGAGGAGAGAAACAGAGAACGGAGACAAGGCGAAGATAATTACGAGTTTGTGGAATTCGGAAAGGAAATGAAAAATGTATTACAAGTGAAGAAAAGAAAAATTATACGTACAAGATTATTAGTATGAAGACGGAAGCAGTTATACCAACGGAGACAACACAACGCGTGTTGTTCGAAGTAAAACAGGTCTGCTGCTTTTTTTTTCTGTGTTTGTTGGCAGCCCTGCTACAGGCGTAAGAGTGGCAGTTTCCGTCAACACACTATCGACGTTGAAAAATACCGGAAAGCTGGACCTCAACATTCTACCTGTTTAAATGCGCGACGTGTGGTTATCTGAAGACGAACGGGGTGCGAAGTGGGGACCATGGAATTGCATGAAATTTGTGATTCGCTTGTACGACGGGTGAAACTGCAATCCAGTGTCACAGACTCGCTGAACACGAAGATTCTTGTGTACTGAATGCACCAAATGGTGATCTTAACTAGAGCGTGGGGACATCTCTGAGAGGGTTGTACAACTTGTGACGCCGCATTGCCTGAATCGATAATGCAGCATATACCTTGCCGACATAAATTTGCCATACACGTACGTCAGCCGTGCCCGAGAAAAACGCGTACACAAAAGACGTCCTGGGTCCTTGTGTTGAAGCAGACACCAGTGCTGGACCTCATTTCAGCTGCTGTCTGATAAAACTCTTCTAACGAAAATCTTTTAATTATATTCTGATAATCTTCCCTCAGAAAACAGTGCACCCCCTAGGGTAGGGGTTTCTGGGGAAAGCCAGCACAACTTCTATCCCCAGTCTGTAGGGGATGAATTCCGAGCAAAGTTCCGCCACGGTCGACTTGCTTCACTGCTCAAATATTAATCCCCTTTCAGAAGTTGGTCCACCTGCTTGGGTGAGTTCAATTGTACATTATCCCTGTCTCCTAGGCAACAGGAGGGGTGGCTCTTGGCGTCTCAGCGAACTTGGAATGAAAGCTGTCACTGCAGATCACCTGACCTTTCTAAATGATTGCTTTGATGGAGAAAGCGGATTCTTAAGACCACACAAAAAGAGAAATGTACAGTCTTTCACGTCACCAGGCAAATGAAAAGCTTTGACAAATTACGTATGTGACGCAGATCAGTAAAATGCATTTCTCAAAATTGATTTTATCCATAAACATTTTAAAAACAATTAAACTCGAGATCTGGATCTTCACGAGATGTGACACTCGGTACTTCCATCACGCCAGATAAACCTACAGGGACTCGGATGGAATTCATTTGTTTCAAAGTGTAACACGTGGTTTATGAGTTTCCTCAGTCCCTCCAGGGAGGCTCTGGGAAGGGAAAATGAGCAGTGACCACCTCTTTTCATACCATTATCTCATTCAATATGATCACGCACAGTCCGAACCATGAAACAAATAACTAACAGAACTGGGCACATGAAATATTACTGACGAGCACCTCAAATTTCTCCTTACCTGAGCTCGCCATTTACGCATCTCTCGCTGATCCTGGTGAACAGGAGGTGGGACAGGTCAGGGTACAGGAAAGTTAGAAAGACGCTTCAAGGGCGAATTCAACTACGACCACAGACACAATTACACTGTGACCAACTATTCAAAATAATTCAGAAGCAGGTAAATTTTCAATTATTTTCAAAATAGTAAGATGTTCTGTCAGCGCTTAACCAGCGAACTGCTACGCGCACAAATTCGACATCAAGAGTTTACGACCAACTACAAAAACACATGCAAGTTACTCGCCAAATACGAGGCAGAATTTAAGTAAAGGACTGCAGTGACAAATTCTGCACAAGGCGGAATTTAATTAAAGGACTGCAGTGACAAATTCTGCACGTGAGGTCAACAAAAAACGTGGATACAGAATTCTTCCTCAGTCACTACCTTCCTATCCATCCTGAAATTTCTGACGTGCACCCGGCAGATGTGCATCCGTCCGTTGGCGTCGAAGTGCTCTTATCCAGGCACTTACTTCCTTACCTACGCAACAAGGACAGGGATCCACTCCTCAGTAAGCCACAGCAAATTCAACTTACAGCGTCTTCGACATTGCGGCGCACAAAATGTGTCGTGACATCGAGTTTCGGGTATACTTCGGACTTTACGCTCACATATTAAGTTGGCAACTGGATCTTCGGGTGTTTTACTGTTGAAATAAATCAGTACTTGGAATCTAAATTACTTTATTAAAATAAGAAACAAATGAACGTAACTTAAACTGGGAAAAAGTAAAACAATAAAACAAAAGAGAGAAGAATACTTTACAGCTCTGACAAACATTACTTGATCCTCTGCTTACATTTGGACCAAGACGAACACGAGATTTACAAATCGTGTGAACGTAAGCCAGCAAGAAAGCGCGACGGACAGGTACCGCTCACGTACGCTGCAATTTGACATTTCTACAGACCAAGGACAGAAAATTTGAGATCAACAAAAGAATGCAGTTGCAACCAGGGCCAGATTAAGGCCAAGCCCTGATAAATTATTAATACACATTAACAATTGCTAAGTGAATAAAATTGCATGCGCCAACTTCTTGATGCCAGGAAATCATTGGGGAAAAAACCCTGGATCAGACTGATGCCCAAATGTCGCCTGATGGAAGAACCAAAACCAACTCAAGGATATTGCGACATAAAACACTAGACGACCGAGACGCAGCTACAGAATAATTATATGCATAAACAGTTCTCTCCAAGCAGCCATTTGTAATTTTTAATCTTGACTGACGGCGTCTTGAATCAGACCACCTCGTAATTTGAGAGGATTTGCGACCCGTTTCTAGCAAATGAAATGAAGAAGACGCTAACATTACAAGCACTGAGACCAAGACACTGCGAAATAATAATGAGCAGGGAATGATTTCTGTAATCATGGAAACGTCTGATGATCTTGGTGATGGGAAGAGTTTCTGCTTCATGAGCATCTGCTACTTTGTGCTTCAGTCGCAGACAGAAACTTCAATGAATTTCATCACCGGCAACATAGAAGGAAGTGACGATGGCTTACTCCATGTGTTCACATCCGGTGCGTGGCACCAGTCCTTAGCGCTCGGTGATTCCGCAGATGTACGAGACAGACGTGGCACCGGTCCTTAGCGTTCGGTGATTCCGCAGATGTACGAGACAGAGGCGGTACGGTCTCGTCGTGGGTAGAACCAAGTCCTGAGACATGTACGTCAAACACACTCCAACACGCCTGAACAAATATTTGTCTCCATCAGAAGACATAATGCTCACCACTTCACAGTCCCACTTGCACGTGTCCCGACACGGTCATCATCTTGTCGCAACTGACCTCCATCTGTCGAGACACACGTCCACCAGTCGTCCAGGTCCGGCACTGCCCGACGTCCACAGTTTGCCAGATGTTGACATAGCCACCACCTGCATTAACACAAATGTGATGTCACAGACGCGATGAGACATTCATATGACGGCACAAATTGCTCGTCAGATTCTGCCAAGTAAATATAATTTGCAACAAAAATGCATAAAAGCGATGACTCTGCCTTCCTGCCAACTGCCCGCACTGCATTTGGACAAAACCCCTTTACAGTGCCCCTAATTTCATCCTTGCCAAGAGACGTGCCCACGCAGTCGACAACGAAATCCCTCTGACAGGAGCTTTTCTTCCACCGCTTCGTGATGTGGCAGTAAGACAACCTGAATTAGTGCACCCACACGAGCGAGAATGTCCTCAAACTGTCTTCTTACTTAGTCACAGTCTTAGATCAGTATAAATGATCGCATTTTGAGTCAGTATTTAACCCTTACTTATTTATAAAATGTAAGTACTTTTTGAAAAGTTCTTATCATCGAGAAGTATCTTCTCCTGGTTTATGTAAAACGCACACCAACTCACTGCAAATGGCACTCCTGAACATCAGTTTGACAGTCTTCAGGGCCTCCGGGGACTCGGCGCAGCTTCCGCTAGACGTGGGGCCGGGGAAGGGCCTCGCGCCGCCGCTTCGGTACCCTGCGCCCGACGTGCAACACCACCTGTCCCACCCGGATCTCCTTGAACACTGCAATTGCTTCCTGGTGACTGAGCCCATGCAGCGCCTTGCCGTTCACAGCCAGGATCTCGTCGCCTGCAACACACAGACAATGGCCCGACTACTCGTAGTTCCTCGGTTGCTCAAATTCCACCCACCAGACCCTATCCTGAGTCACATTAATCTGATCCACAGCTTCAAGTCCTGTTTCAAAAAAGATCCATTTCAATTTGACTCTCCCGCTACGCCTAGCGTCGCTTATGTCAGGGTGTTCCTGGCCAAAATTCCCTACGCATGTTGTATGTCCCTCTCACCTCATCCTTCATTCAATCGCTCTTATTACGTGAACATTCCCCTCAGCACCTTCAGATCAGACCTTCCGTTGGACTCACCCTCCTTCAGCCTGCCGCTTTCTGCGGCCTGGCCATGCGGGAACACCGTCTTCACGTATATGCCCATGTTCCCTTTGGGGGAGTCTCGTCCTCCCACAATGCTGAATCCCAGGCCTTTGTGGCCGGGGCCCTTCGTGAAGGCCACTGACAAGATCGTGAAGGCAGCGTCTCGTCCGGCGCCGTGCCGCGGCAGGGTGCAGAACTTGCTTTCTTCATCTCCATCATCCTCTTCCTCGTCATCGCCTGAAGAATCGAGTGGCTCCACAACCTGCAACAGAACAGAGCAGGTTCCAAGTTTAAATCGAGACTATCAGTGCCCATTACTGCTCGACTCGCTAGACGAAGAAATGTCCCCGTGGCTGTCGCCACAAGAGATAAATCACTTTCATCAAATCTTTTTATCCCAGGCACAAGGGTCCAATGGCGCCTCAACTATCCACATATTCAAAATACCTGCCGCAGTGCTTCATTGCGGTCAGCAACCATTTCTCCTTCCCTATCCTTAAGACATACGCCATACCGAATATTATTTCAGAGAAGCTGTTGTCTTCCTGTGATTCACATCTTATTTCATACGAGCCATTCACCAGAGGATGAACAGGTTCCGACAGCAACACAGAGTTGCCCCTCAGGCCCTCTGAGACCTCAGAAGCTTCTGCGCCTCTCGCCTCTCACCTACCTTACTTCTCCACGACAGTTCCTGTCGCTGCGGCACGAGGTCGACACTGCTGCGATAGGTACGGCGCGCACCATTCACTTGTTTCTGCGTGTTCTTCTTCTTCTTATCGTCCAGGGCCTGCTGTAGCTGCTGTATCAACTGGCGCTCTCCGTTCCGCACGTCACTGCCTTCTTCCTCTGCGGTGTACGGCAAGGACGTTGGGCCTGGGTCGGGCGAGGCATCGAAGCCACAGGACGACACGCTCCCGCCGATCTCGAACCTGCAGAATTGGTTCGCCACTGACCACCTCCTGCTGCGCCGCTGGCAGCCGAGATCACGGGGCGGTGACGGCGAGCAAGACTTCCTCCTCAACCGGGACAACGACGCTGACGATGACGCGCTGTCGGTACTCCTGCCGTCCAAGTCCTCCGTCGGGGGCGTGGCGGTCCCCCTACCGGAAGAACAGGCGCTAGACAACTTCCGCTGTCGGCCGTCCGCGTCTCGGAAGGCGAACGGAGGTAGAGAAACGGGACCGGACCTCTCAGAAAACTCTTCTTCCGTGGTCTTCGCCAGGGGCGAAGGGACGTAGAATGTGGGCTGGTTCCGGGCGGACGGACACATTTCGTGCACGGAAATTGCCCTGCGCTTGCGCAGACCGGCGTGTAGCTGGCGCTGCTGCGGAGGGGGGTCGCGGGCCCCGTGGGGGGCATGCTCACCAACACGGGGTGATCAGGGGGCACTATGAGGTGCTCGCGCTGGGGCGGAGTCGTGAATGACGAACAGCGTCGACGCAAGAGTCTCCAGCGTTGCGAGATGCACTTGTTGAGCGCCGAAACGTCTGAAACAGAGCAAGAACGACACCATGAGGAGAATATCTGGACCGAGGAGGAAGCACTCAGCTTCTCGTAGCGGCGTCAAGGCAAGGCAGAGGCGCTGTTAGGAAAGCCGACTGGGGACGCAAAGACTAGTCTTATTTTTCGTTGGAAGACGCAGTAACTCGGCCCTCTGACCGGCTACTCACATCCACACGCAGAAACTGCTGCCCTGTGATAATTAGTACACCGGTCTGCCAACAGAGGCGGTTGCTTCCGGTACCAGGTGCGGCGGGCCGGAAGTGGTGGGGAGTTTATCACCTGAGTGACTCAGAAAGAAGAGGCTCCACGCAGGTGGCGATGTTCAGCTGTCGCTACAATCAATGACTACAGAGCAGTCCGCCAGCCACGAATACTTCGATGGGCCACGACCGCTTCCTTCCAGAATTTATTCCAATTCATTCTTCATCACCAACCCATCCTTCGAGGGGAATACGTTTTGAGATACTTATCGGCGCCGTCGGACGATCAACCTTTCGTCGGGACTTGAGCCCAAAATTCAGAGGCTACAAAAACGACCAAAAGTGGGCCTGGGCAAAGAACAGGCCATTGCGCTTACGGTGAAGCACTTGTTTTTGTTCTGTTGACATGACGTCACGCTGTCGTCCTTACTCACAGGATGCACAAAAGTTCGGTTCACGAAACTTATAAAAAAATATTTTACGTAGGATAATATTAGACTGGGTCCAGTGACACCCCAAGCAAGGCCGCTGGATCATTCACTGAGGTTAGAAGGCGTGTTCCTGAGGCGAGCGTCCATAGCAACACGAACTACCGGGGTACAAAGGCGAAAGTCGCCCTTAACGGTTTGCTAACCCACACAGACGACACGTGGTTTCATTTTATCAGGCGCGTGATATCAGCTATTTGGGGCATCGGAAACAAGGAGGCCGTGACAGATGGCCCCGGAAAATCACACAGAACACGGATTAACTCCTGCCGGCGGAAAACAAAAGACTGTATCGACCATCCCACGACCTGGATGAATCAGTGGCGGCTCGCAACATTTCGCGGAGTATCGTGGGTCACACGCCTTAAAAAAAGACGCAGATTCACAACGAGAGGCCCCAACTGAACCAAACCTGACCTAACCTCGACAAACATCCGATTTGTTGCCAGGCGACGCAAGCCGATAAGATTTTCCTAGCGTACAGTCCGAGGAACAACGACACGGTCCATCAGTTCGTCGTATCATTGCAGACATCATACTTCGAAGACGAAGGTGAGTGCAACTGATCCGAGGACGGCGTTGAACCACAGAGCATTGGCAATACCTGATCCGGTCTGCCCCAACATTTCCAGAGGCGACCAAAACTCCAATCCAGGATAATTTTTATTCGTGGGATATCAGAACTACCTTGAAATTGGCCACGATCGTTTCATTCAAAAACCATCCTTGTCACTATTCGCCTCCACGGCGCATAGATTCTTTACAGACGATACAGCGGTGTTAAATATCCCCCACACCTGCTCGCCAGACAACACAGATCATGAAATTAAATTGTCCATGTGATAATATTAAAATGCACGTACGCTGTTCTGCCTGAGCATCACGTCATTAAGGCACGGGCGACGTTTCGGAGCTCCTGGTAACCCAAAGGACAGACGGATGAGCCACACGACCGGTCTTGGAGCAGTTGTGAGAGCACGAAAACCCCTTTCCACGCCAAGGATCGACCTCGATGATGGGCGGAGGTTCACAGAACATCTGTGGCGGCGACATGTTTCGGGCGGCCAAGGATCGCGAAGGAGCAGTGCAAACAAAATGTCTGCGAGCTTTTACAATAACTCGGCGAGCGAGGAGGAATCACATGAAGGCGTTATAACAGTACAGGCCGAGTCGTACCCGCACGAAGGCCGCTGCTCACACCGAAACCAAACGACGACGAAACACTGGAACCGTGGGAGCGTGTTATGTAACAATTCCCATAATGCCTCGCGGCACACGAAAATGTATATATATAGGCTTTCAAGCCGTCTTGAGAGCAAATAACAGATACGGAACACCAACATTTATCGGATTCAACGGAGGCGTACGAAAGTTCGCGAGGTGTGGGTTTACCTGAGCGCTGGAAAAGTATAAGACGAGAGACGCGATAAGATTTATCGGGGGAAATTAAATTTCTTCAAGGATGAGTCCACTATAAAGGCTATTTACCGCGACATCGCCACTTTGCACGAAGATTCGTGCATTTCATAAAGAACTGATCTCGTATCGAATCTCCTACAACTTTGGTGCGTGCATGTGGGGGGAGGGGGGAGTTATGAGGTGCCCTAAATTTATAAAACAGGGCTCTTTTTAATGCCGACACAACCCGAAACGTTCCGATACAAAAAAATACAGTACCAAATTTGATTCGAGATCGAAATCAGACACTGCGAGTGGAGAATATACAAATTTTTCGTTCCTGATCTCTTCCGCCGATTGATCTAGCAATGATGTTAGGTTGGTCCAGGCGCCATCTTGCCAGTGTCTGGTGCCTTACCTTCTTCGTCACGGTTC